CCCTTCGGTTCCTTTTCCGCCTCTTAGTATCGGCACGATAACTTGGTCAGCTGCTATATGCAGGCCCACGTCTCCCTGGTATTCCTGCACCACAAGAAGCTGGTATTCAAAGAAAAGCACAAAACAAAAAAAAAGCAGACAAAACACTAACAAGGGGGTTTGCTGAGATTGGGTGGGGGGCAAAGAGTGGAGAGAGGGGTCGACCTCAGAACATGTGAAACTATTGGTCCGCATCCATGCGTTCACTCCACGATTTGCGCTGCAGCGGATTTCTCGAATGCGTGCAGTTGTTAGGCAACGGGCGGGGGTAATATACGACGTGCTCCAGATCGAGCGGGCGCTCCTGAAGGCACGGTGGCAGCGGGGATGCCGTGCCATCAGACCCCATCGGTGTGAACGGCGGGGAGACCTCGGAGGACGAGGAGGAGGGCGACGACAACTCAGCCGAGTCCTTCGTGCCAGAAGAGTCTTCCTTCGCAATACGCATATCACCGCTCGTGACGAAGGGGCATATGACATCAGGGAAGGGACACTCGCTGTTGCGGCCGATCTCACGTCCGCGGTAGAAGTTCGTCCAGCTCCTCCCGCGTCGTGTGTTGCCCACTGTATCGAACCTGTCCACGACGAGGATCTCCGTCATCGCGGACCCGGAGTACGTCTTCAGAGTGTGCACACCCGACACCTTCACCTGCAGGAAGGTGCGGCATGAGTAGCCGGCAGTGAATAGGGTGACAGGGGCGTTCTTCGGCACGATTATATGCGTCACGGGGATACCGAGTTTGCATTCGCGGCTCACGGTGTTGTGCACCACGTACTCGTGCAGGGGAATCTTAAATTTGTGCGACTCCACACGTGAACTCATCTCCACTGCGGTGACGAGGGTGAACACGATCTTTGTGATGGACGCGAGGCCGTTGGTGTTATCAATAACCGCACGGAATGAGATGGGCGTCCCCCGCATGCAGATGATGCTTTGCAGCGTGAGAGAGATGGAGACGGTGCCCTTCTTGAAGACGCCGCAGATGGGCACCTCAAGGCTCTGCTCCCACAACGGCATGCCCTGCAATGCGGCATCGTAGCTGCTGGCAATATCTGCCACCGGGTCTGGCAAGGGCAAGGACGCCTCGCTGTTGGCTGCTGGTGTCCCGTTACCGTTGCCACCGTGCCCATTCACCTTTGCTCCATTCCCCACGGCGCTGTTGTTCCGTTCAGTGTCCTCTTTGAGACTGAGGCTGTTGGTGTGGCACTCCTCGCTTTCATGCGCCACCCAGCTGTTCCCCGACGGCTCGCTCAGCTTCTTTTCCTGCCCCTTCTTACTCTTATCCCCCACCTCAGGGGCTTCTTCTTNGACGGCTCGCTCAGCTTCTTTTCCTGCCCCTTCTTACTCTTATCCCCCACCTCAGGGGCTTCTTCTTCTCCACCGCCCCCCGCTTCCTTCATCCCTTGTTCCTGCTTCCTCTTCCTCATCTTCTCTTGCTCCTTCTTCTTCCTCTTCTCCATTCTCCTCCGCTCCTTTTCTTCGTGTTCCTTTTCTTTCCTCTGCCGCCTAGACAGCTTCACCAAATCGACGGCGTGGTCGAGCGGGGTTGTGTCATCGTCTGCGACGTCCAACCCGTTGTTTGCGTTGATGCCGTCCACGTTCACGTTCGCGTTGTAGAGTGGGATGCGGTGCTCGATCAGCAGGAAGTTGCCACCAGCCAAGTACTCGCTTTCTTCTCTATACAACATATCGCGATCCTCCTGTTCGGCTTGTCTGTCGCCCATGCCCTGCATCTCCAGTGTGTCCTGCAGTGCGGAACCCTCCCTGCTCCCACCAGCGATGGAAGCGATCGTGCCGGACTCTAGGCTCTTGTGCACGGTGACCCACTGCCGTGGGTTCACTGGCAGCATGCACACAACAAAGTACACGCGGTCCTTCACCAGTGAGCGACTGCCACTGTACAGCTTCGCCTTAATGCTGTACAACAGCTTTGAGTAGCCACTTCCGTGGTGATCACTGTACGACGGCGGCAGCGTCTCTGGCAGTCGCACGCTGAAAGGGAACGTGTACGTTCCCGGCATGAGTCCCATTGTAACGATGTTGGGGCCAATCTCAGCGCTATCTGTTACGCTAACGCCGGCGTCGCTCCAGTGCCCGCTGCTGCTCTTCTCGGAGCCCCGCTGCTCGTCACTGGGCGGTAGCAGACCGGCCAGGATGACTCTCTGGCGGTAATATGTGGTGTAGCGTGACTCGGTGTCTATCCGCTTCGTAAAGGCCGTGCCGAAGCGGGTTACCTCCTCGCCGCGCAGGTGCGCCTCCAACAAAGTATACTTCAGAGGGGCGTTCACGGTAATTTCAACAACACCCCGCAGCATATCGCCCGGGTAACGCTGTAGTGTTTTCAGCAGCACGCGAAACGACGAGACATGCTTGGAAGAACGGTGAAAATCCATTGGGAAACAAACCCTTGGTCCACGCTCTACTCTTTTTTGTCCTTTTGTCCTCTCTCTCTCTCTCTCTCTCTCTCTCTTCCTTTCCTTCGTCTGTCAAAACTGTCTCACGCACTTGTGGCAATACCTTTGGCTTCAACGGCTTTAACTTTTCCCTCTTTTTCAGAGGAAGCCAATGACTCTACTCTCTTTGTTTTGTTTTTCTTCTTCCTTTCTTTCGCCCCACTCTTGCTGTTGTGTTTTGTCACGATGCTACTACTCCGCACAGCCGTTGTATGATTGCGTGCGTGTGTGTCACTTGCTTCAATGCAGCCGCGATGGCCCAAATAAACCAAGAAAAAAAAAATGTCACAGTACTAGTGCCGACCCTCACCCCTCACTGCTGCTGCTGCCGCGCGCGGAAGGAAAGATATCCACCCTGGTTGGTTTCCTCTTCGGGAAAGCGTGCCGCCTTGCTCGTGTAGATATGTATATGTATACCCTTGCAGGTGTCTTGTACAACACTTCCAGCGTCGCATGTATGTGTATGAAAGCGAGAGAGAGAGAGAGAGAGCGAATATCAGGACAGAATAGCGGGACTGGGACGAGTGGGAAAGACCCACAACGAACCCAGAAAAGTGTGGCGCCGCACAACACCCCCAACACCACGCGCTCACGTCTGGCGAAGTGTGCGTCGCTTCTTCACAGGCGGCGACGCCAAGCCCTCTGTTGCAGTCGTTGCGAACTCCGACGCGTCTGTCACGGATGCTGTGGTTACTGTTGCTGTTGCGTCTGGTGTGGGCGTTATCTGCTGGTCGCCGCTCTGCCGTGTGGTCGTGATGGATGGCGTCTCGACGGCGCCGCTGCTGCTGAGCCCGCCGTGCTCGGACGGCCGTGGGGCGCCGCTTGGCCGCAGCGGTGTGCTGCTGTCGATGGGCAAACCAACGAGCTGCTCTCTGCGCCGTTTCATCTCCGCCGACTGCTGCAGCACCTTGGCAAAGGAGGCGCGGAGGTACTCGAGCTCGTGGTTCACAATGTTGGTGAGCTTAATACCGGGGATGAAGACTGGTGAGCCCTCCGCCTCGAAGACGGCCATGCTGCGCTGCANCTTCTGCCGCCGTATCGCCTTTACCTCGTCGACGAGGCGAACCACCTCCGCGACGTGCGGCACGTCCTCCGCGGCTGCGCTGTTCTCGCACAGCTTCTTCACCACCTCGAAGAAGTAGAACGGCAGGGACTCAAACGTCGCCTCGTTCTCACCCTCCCGCTCCACGACGCCGCGAAGGTACGGTAGCGCCACGAAGGGCGGCGGGTTGATGGTGCATGTGTCGGTCTGGCGAATGTGCAGGGCGAGCCAGAGCGGCACGTCGACGGGGTAATTTGGGGCGAAGGGGCCGTAGCGGCCGCCAAACGCCGTCGTGACGCGCGGCATCGTGAAGCGCGGCACCATCGTCACCGTCACCTCCATCGCGGCGAAGGAGGCAAAGTGGTAGGAGGTGAAGCTGCTGCTGCCACCAGCCACTGCCGAGGAGGCGGCAGTCACTTCGCTCCTCATTCAATAGACCTTGCAGTCTCCCCCTCCTCTTTTTTTTTTCTTTATTACGTGTATATATATATATATATGTGTATGTGTATGTGTATGTGTGTGTGCCTGCCTTCTGCAGCCCCTGCACCGCCACCACTGCCCAGGCAATTTGGTAAATAGAAGAGAAAGCAATGCCAAACTGCTCCAGCACGCGTCATTGTAAAGGGAAATACATTTCCCTCTCTCTCTCTGTGTGTGTGAGAGAGAGAGAGTGTGTGTGTGTGTGTGCAACAACCAGTGAGATGCATTGGAATCTTTTTCTATTCCCCTTTGACCCTCGCCTCCCCCGTCATCATCACCACCACCATCCTCAGCGTCATCAGAGCCATGGACACACCACACGCAAAGAAAAAAAAAAAGTACACACGCACATACAAGCACAGACCCGCACCGGACAACGACAAGGACAACCCCCTCAGTTCACGTGGTCGTACAAGTATGATGCCAATAGAAAACGTGCCAAGAATGCCAAAACGCAGAACCCTACTTGCACCTTCAGCACTGCCTTGGTCAAGTGACGCTCGTGCATGTCCCCACGCAGCCACAGAATGGCATTCAATAGCGTGTAGTTTCGACTGTTTTGAAGGATGTCACGCTTCGCGTCCCACCGTGGCACACGATGGCGCGGACACGGAACAATGTGAAACAGCTGTGGGAGGGAGATGACAAAGTTGATAATCTGCGGAAAGAAGAACAGCATCAGCGTCTTGCTGTACAGCCCCGTCACCCCGGCAACGGAGAGCACGGTCCCTGCGAAGTACGTGTAGCTATCGCCAACGAAGATGCGGGCGGGGTATCGGTTGTAGCGCCACAGCGCCATGCTCACACCGACAAATGGCGTCAGGAGCCCAATTGCCATTAGTTGGTGGAGCGACCCCCCGCTGCTGTCGCCGCTGCGGTGTGGTTCCTTCTCAAGCCGCAGCTGCAGAATGTTGTACAGGATACACGCGAGTGCAATTATGATGCTCTGCCCCACCTCTATGCCATTGACACCGGCGAGGATGTTGATGCTGTTGGTGCAGAAGATGCACAGCATGCTTAAGTAGACGAGGTACAAGCAGCCAAGATACACCAGCGACGTGTGGAGGTACGGCACCAGCGGGCGCGGCACAGCGACAGAGACACTGCCGTCGTACGTCAACACCAGCGGCAACGAGCCGATCGCCGACAGCAGCAGCTTGTGACGCCACCGCAAGTCTAGCACGTCGTCGACGAAGCCCAGCAGAAGCATCACGGTGATGGTTGTCACCGCGCCGTCCACCTGCCGCGCCAGCGGGCCGAAGACGACCAGCATCTGCACCACCACCACGCAGAGGTACACCGCACCCGCGAGGATGCCGAGGGACTCCGGCACGATGAGCCGCTTCTCCGCGTCGTCCATCTCTCCGAGCCGCCTCCCCGCGATGCGCCGCCGCCGCTCCTCCGTAGTCTTGTTGATGTCGATGCCGTACACGCCACGCTCCATCAGCTTCATGCGCACCGGTTGCATGAAGTACATCGCCAGAAGGTACGCCGCCACACCACCGAGGAGCGCGACGGTGAGCTCAACGAAGTGTGTGCGCATCGACGCCCCAATGTTGAGCAGCGCCACGCTGATCGGGTGATGTGCGCCGTCCATCGCCGTTCCCCTGCTGCGGGTCTGAAACACGTCCCGTTGCTGTCGTGTTTAACAGCACCTCACAGATTGGCTGCTGCTGCTACTGCTTTTCCTTCGCACACCCCCCAGCCACCCTCTTTCTCTCTCCCTTCTCTATTTCTCTCGTGCTGTTTCTTGCTTTGATTTTGTTTATCTTTGTTGTTCGCTATATAGCCTGTTCGGTTTTTGTTGTGTTTTGCCTTTCCCCTTTTGTTGCTCGCCCCTTCCACCCCTGCGGAAGGGCCCACGACGAGTCTGTGCGCTTCACGCGTGGCGATGTGTGTGGGAAAGCCAACAACAACAACAGCAGCAGCAGAGGCCAAAGGAAAAAAAAGGCAAACATGCAGGCCCAAGCAAAGACCCGCACAGGAACCACAAGCGTCCCCCACCCCCTCCTAACAACAAAACAACAACAAAAAAGAAAAAACGCACGCAGGCAGAAGTCGCAGCGGCTTCCTTGAATTTGTTGATTAACGAGAAAACCCCGCGTCGCCCGCACGGAGGTGGCACAGCACACACACACACACACAGAGAGAGAGACATACAACACACACAACGGATACACGTGCGCCACTTATCAATCTTCCCACATCTCCGGATCGCTGCGGAACAGAGCACCGCCACGGCCTCTTGGCGCATTCTTCGTCTTGCTCGCTGGTGATGTGGATTGTGGCGCCCGCTCAACTGCTTCGCTGGACGCATCGCCGCTGTCATCATCATCATCATCCTCTTCACTGGACGCAATTTCCTCGTCCTCGTCCTCCTCCTCCTCATCATCATCGCGTGTTGGGGCCGCAAGCTGTGCGGCGGACCGGCCCCTCTTCTCTCCCCGTGCCACTTGGCGCAGTGCCCAAAACTGCTGGGACCGCGCCGGTGAGAGACCTGCGAGGAACGCGGCAGTCTGCCGCAGCACCTCCGCCGAGACGGTGGGATCCTCCTCGCCCTCCTCGAGCACCACCACCACTTTGCCAGCCACTGCTGTTGCTGGCGCTGCAGCCACCCCACCGGGTGCGTGTCCCCTCTTGCTCGACGATTGGCCCGTCGGAGTGGCAGACTTCTTCTTATTCTTCGACACGGTCCGAGAGACGGGAGCATCAGCAGGAGAGCTGCCGGCAGCGGTGGCGTTCGCGGGCTGAAGATCCGAGAGAAACAGCGCTGCCGTCTCTTCCTCCGTCAGCGGCGCGGTGCACCGTTTCTCTCGTGACGAGGGCGGCGCTGCCGCCTCCAACTTTGCGGCCTTGCGCCGTTGCGTGATCTGTGAGCGTCGCCCCATACAAGACGAGTCGCTGCGAGGGGGCTTCCAAGCCATCGTAATAAGAAAGAATAATAATAATAATAATAATAATAATAATAAGGCAGACAAGAAAAAAAGAGAGAGAGAGTTTTACGCCACTACAGCATGCACCCAAACAAAACAGAGCCTGCGTGCATGCATGTATACGCACGAGTATGGTAGACATATATATATATATATATATAGATAGATAGATAGATAGAGAGAGAAAGGGAAAGCGCAGGCAACCGCCCCCCCGCACGTGCGCCGCAACGACGTGGGGAGTCTACGTTGTATACTCATGCCGTATTTCCCCCAAATGAGTGTACGTGTAGGTATGTGTACATATGAACATCATGCTTGTCATGGGCCAAGAAGCGTGCAGCCACATATATGTGTGGGTGCGAGAGAGTGTGAGAGAGAGAGAGAAAGCGTACGCAGCAACAAGAACAACAACAACAACAACAAAAGGAGCAACCCATCCCCTCTTTTTCTTCTCCCTCGCGGCAAAGGCAATTCATCCTCACATCGGCATGCGGGGTGTGGGGACCTTGTTTGCTTCTTCCTTCGAGCTGTGTTTTTCTCCATGCTACGCCTTGGCCGCCTTGCGTTTCTTCTTGTTCTTCTTCTTCAGCACCGCGAGTGCCTGCCGCGTGAACATCCCCCTGATCGCGGACTGGATCATCGACACCGCCTCGTACTCCATGTTGGCCTGCGTCTCCGCTGCTGTTCTCTCCGCCTCCTCCCGCTGTTGTTCCTCCTCCCGCTGCGACTTGAGCTGCACCTCCACCTCCTTGTCCTTCTGCGCCTTCTGCAGCCGCTCCGCGCACTGCTGTCGTATCTGCTCCACATCGATCTTGCGCGCCTCCACGCGTTTGATCTCGCTCTGGTTCTTCTTGTCCCACCGCATCGCGAGTTCGTCCATCGCCTCGGTGCGCTCAATGAGGTGCTCCTTGAAGTCGTTGTGAACGCACTCCTCCACGCGCTCCTCCCACTCGCTGCCATGCATCGCCTCCAACACGATGCGCTCCTCGTCAGTGGCCTTGCGCTGCATGGTCTCGTGCGCCGCCTCCACCTCCGCGCGGACCATTTCGTTCTGCTCCTTCAGCCGCTTCTTCTCCTGCCGCAGGCTCACCTTCAGCTCGGCGACGCGCTGCCGCCGCTCCGCAATCTCCTTCTCTTTCAGCGCCTTTTCCGCCTTGAGGTCGTGTTGCAGTTGCTTTACATTCTGGTTCAGCTCCTTCTCCTTCAGCACAAGCTCATCAGCCCAGCGCTGCGCACTCTTCTCGTCGGCGATCAACTTGGCGAAGCGCTCAAAGTACGACATGAGTGGAATACGTGGCGCCGCCGGGCCGCGTGCCGCCCGCCTCATCTGTGTCGTGCTACCGAAGCGGTTCTTCGCCAGGGTGCCCTCTTTCACTTCGGTGGCAATACTCTCAGAATAGGCGGAGCGATCGTACCGGCCTTCGCTGCGCAGCAAGGCACCCGGTGTATTTGCGGTCTTTGTCACGCCGTACCCCGTTGTGATCTCGCGAATGACGGCCTGCAGCAGCTGAATGAGTTCTGAGCGCTCATTCCCCACCTTCTTCCAGTTATCGGCATCATTGGGGTTGTCCTTCAGTTGTATAAAGAGCGCCTTGTTGTGCTCGCGCAGCCGCCGCGAAGTCTGCCGCAGCTCCTCCATGATTGCCGTCTTCTCGTGGTCCTGCACGGCGGCGAAGCAGTTGCGATCCAGCTCCGGCTCATTCGGGTTGGGATTCACCTTCTGCGTTTGCCGCAGCAGCTCGCCGTAGCGCCGCTCCAACCGCTGCTGTTCCACCACCAGGTCTGCCACCGTGGGGCGCCCGCACCGCTGCATGCTTGCTGCTGTCACCAGCGCAGCATTCATCGCCCGCACCGTCTTGCGTGAGAGATCTTCGGACTTCGAAGGCAGCACCGCCGCCTTGCGGGGAGCCGTGGCGGACGATTTAGTCTGCTCTGCTGCTGATGCTCCGTTACCTCCAATATGTGGGAGAAACGACTGAAGGGGACCATCCTCTGGTGCAGTGGTATCGAGCAGTGCCAGCAGCTCGAGCCGCTCCACCGCTTTCTCCAGCACCGACACGATGCGGTTTGCGGAGAGAAAGCCGAGCGGCACGGCATCCAAGTCGCGGTCCTGTGGGATGTTCTGAGTAGCATTGAAGAGGCTGAGCATTTTATTGCTGCTCACCATTGCGGCTGCTGGCGCCGCGCTCAAGGAGCGCGGGGCGTTGATGTTATTCATGTCCGGAGCGCTGCTGAGTGGTCTCTTCTTGTCATTGTCTAGTTGTTTCATATTCCTTGCTTTTTCTCCCTCCTGTGTCGTGTGGTATCGACAACAAAAACACAGCAACGCACACACACACACACACACACTCACAGACAATTTGCTGCTTCCCTCCCTAATGGACTAGTTCGTGCGTGCGATATATATATATATTATACATGAGTGGGAGAACAAGGGGAGAGGACACGAGTGTACGCCTCTGCAGGGACAGTTCGCTCGCGTGTTCAGCACAAGTTGGGCACCCACGGACACACAACTCACACGTAGTTACAAGAGAGGATTATTGGTGGTAGTAGGCGGAGTAGTCAAGACGGCAGCTGCTCACAACGCAGCCCGCCTCTGCTCCATTTCGTTGTTTCTCTCTTCTTGGTTACTCGCAGCGCAAAAACAACAACAACAGTGCACGCACACACACACACACGCATCACCACATGGGAATTGAGACGGCCGAAACACACCGACGCATTCACCCACAGACAGAAAGAGAGAGAGAGAGAGAGCTACTTTCAATATTTCTCGAACAGCCGCAGCAATGTGGCGCGCGTCTTTCTGGCTCTTGTTGTTGTTTTTGTTAAGAGTTGAGTTGCCACTCCGCACGGCACTTTGTACACTGGTAAAATATTGTCTGTCCCTCGTCGGCACTTCGTGTCTGTCGCGCAAAGACCTTGCAGTGTCTGTGCACACCACACGACTCGCAGAAGGCCTCCTCCAGGACTCGGTTGTCAACGTGCGTGGTACCGACCGTGGCAGTGGTGGTTGCCTCTGCCGCCCGCGCCTGCACCTCAACCTGCGCGGCGCGAATTTCCGCTGGCGTGAAGAGGAGCGCTGCTGCGGTGTTACTGCACGCTTCACGTGGGTACGCTTCATGCGCTGGCGACTGCAGAGTGTTGCAGCGCTGGCACCATGTTGTGGTGTAGTGGTGGCGATGGTTACCGTGCTGCTGGTGTTGTTGCTGCTGCTGCTGCTGCGGCATCCAGTTGCCGCACAGCGCGCAGCACGCCGAGCCCATCGCAAGGACACGGCTGGAGGTTGACGCGGCCATGGGCTACTCCTTCCTTCCTTCCTTCCCTCACTGTGTGGAGTTGATTCACTGGGCGTCTTCCGGTGCGTTCACGCCTGGCGTCACCCCGTTGCCTTTGCTACAGCATTCACAAACAAACAAGCAAAAAAAAAAAANTGTGTGTGTGTGTGTGTGTGTCTGTATGCATGCGAAGAGTATCCCATGCTCGCACAGTAACAACAAGACCGCAGTGAGCTCTGTTATGACGTGACACGCACTCGGCCTGCAGCAGACAAAAATGGCAGCACCAGCAGCAACAACAATAGAGGCTGCGTCAAGAGTGAGGTGGAGGTCCCACCAACGTGGCGGCACGCGGAGAGGCAAAGCGTGTTAAGCAAACATTACACATGCACAACGCCCGGCAACAATGGCAGGTCGCCGCAACTCGACTACAAGGAAGTAGCACCCTGCCGAATGCTGCGGAACCCGTCTGCTGTTCTGAGCCGGCTATACATATATGTGTGTGTGTG